ACGTCAATTGGGGGCTGCTTGGAATATACTTGTTCCGCAACTTGTTCATAACGCCATTAAGCTGAAATCGCCGCAAGCTGAAAAATGCAAAAAATATTTAAAGGGTTTATTTTTTAAAAGAAAACAGTAGTCGTAAGCAATTCAATCTGTATTTTTTGTAAATAAATAAATAAATATATATATTTATAGAACTGACTGATAATTTATAAAGCCAGTGTAAGGATTTCCTTTTGTTAGCGTTAGCCCCAAATGATCGATTCTCCCGGTATCAATGGATTCGAGCTTACAGTGTATATACTTGCTCAATGCCTCTTCGAACACTTCCATCGTGTAAAATGCCAATTTCTTTCGCTGGCAGATCTGCGTGAGAATTGACGTGCATCGGTTTAATGAAACTTAACGCCGTTGATGTCTTTAATTAGGTGATATCGCTAACTTGCTTGAAACCGTCAATCGGTGTTTCCGGTAAATACTTCTTCTGTTCCAGCAATTCGTGCAATTTCATAAACACTGGGTTTCTGGTACTCTGTAAAATTTGAAAATAATTTGAATAAAAACGTGCAGTATTTTCCAATTATATAATTAAAACAGAATTTACAAACTTTCGTTACTAACATCTATGTATTTACATTAAGTGTAAGAATATAAATAATTTAAAAACAAACATATATCTCTGAAAATAAAAAATTAATTTCTCTAACATTTAAAATTGTCATCATTATCACGTTTGTAATAAATCATTAAATTACTACGCCTTATTTATGTGTAATGTATTATGTCGTGTATATGTTAAAGCTTACCAAATGTTTCTAGCTATAATCGCGAGATTGTTCTTATTCGCGAACGCTTCGATCGAAAATTCTGCAATTAGCTGTTATGCAAAGAAATTTTTAAACTTTAAATGGCGGACTTACACTAGGACCCTCGAGCACGGCGCTGTTTTGCACAATAATTAATTTGTAAGTTCCGTCATTAAGGTAATCCTCCAAAGTGGAAAAAGGCAGTTTGGGGAAATTGAACGTTAGGAAGCTGATGAGCGAGGCGGAATAAGTGGTCACAATTATTATCGACGAAATATAAATCGAGATAAAAGCCAGTCTCATCGGTGACTCTCTGGGAAGCTCTGCGATCGCGTGAAATATATAAGTGTATTCTATATTTTCCGGTGTCAAATATATCATACATATTATTGGCATATTGACGGATTAATTGCTTATAAAATGTTGCATATCCACATATAATATGAAAAAATTATGTACATAAAAATATTAAGTAAAGTTATTAAATATCTTTGTAATAAATATTACCTGGCAGACCCTGCTGGCAATAAATTCCCCAAACATTAATATAGTTTTCGGATAAATCAATTGAGAAATATCCGTATTTTATCTTCATAATAGTCAATAGAATAGAAGCGACTATTATGATTATTAATAGTGCTATCCAAGTATCAAAACTTAATGACTGCAAGATTTATGAGTGGACGAAAACAATTTATTAACTAGACTTTATTACCGTAAATCTTTATCTATATGAATTATTTGAACATTCTTATTTTAATATTTTTATTTTATCTTTCTTTTTAAAGATATAAAAAGTACAGTACAAATAAACTTAAATAACTTAATTTTCAATTTTATTATAGATAAAATTTAACATTTAATTTTGTTGATGCAAAATAAATATTATATTTTTACTTATTGTTAGTAAAACTTTCGCAAAAATGTATAATAATAGCTTGTAATTATTATAATTATTACCTTAAGATATGAATTCCACTGCACGTAGGCAATGTTGGGTGCCTTAAAATAGAGGCGAAATCGCGAGCGTACCAATGGCATCGTAAAATCGATAACGTTTCGTCTACTGGTCGTCATCATGAATGCGGAAACGCCGATGTCGGCTTTATTGGCCACCAACTGGCCGATCGCACCTGTCC